GCCTGCGCTGGCTCCGCTCGTGGGCACGGTCACAAGAGGCACCGCTCTATGGCACCGCATCCCGCTCCTGCGTACATTTACTGCACTGTCGGCTTTGCTTTTATGTTGCGGGGGAGAAAAAAAAGGGGGAGAAAAAAAAAGGGGGAGAAAAAAAAGGGGGAGAAAAAAAGGGGGGAGAAAAAAAAGGGGGAGAAAAAAAAAAGGGGGAGAAAAAAAAAAGGGGGAGAAAAAAAGGAAAAGATGGAAATGAAATAAAAAGATGGAGAAGAAATAAAAAGATGAAAAAGATAAAGAGAGTTCTTCGCTGAGGGGGTGGTCAAGCACTGGAACAAGCTCCCAGGAAAGCTCTCAAGCCTGTGGCTGTTCAATAAGCATTTGTACAGTGCTCTTAAGATACACGGTTTTACTTTTAGGTTGCCCTGTGTGGAGTCAGGAATGGGACTCAATGATCCCTGCGGGTCCCTTCCAACTCAGGATATTCTATGATTCTAAGTACCAATACTTGAAGGACATGATCTCAAAATACTATGCAAATGCTAACATTTAATGAAATTACGTAAGGGGAATGGACATTTGTCTTACCATAATTTTTCTCAATTGGTATTTTTAAAAGGACTATTAAATTAAAACAAGGATGGACTGCATTAACTACCAGCAATGAAACAGTATCAGACCTACCAATTCATGCTTCTGGGCGGGGAACATGTCACACGCTGTGTAAGACAGCAATGTAGAAGACAGACAGGGAAGGGATACAGAAAACGTTATCTCCATTTCACAGGTTCAGGAGAGGCACAAGAAGACTAAAAGGAACACCCAAATTCACTTGTGCACTGGACTGAACTGGGGATACGGCACAAAACCATAAGCATTTTGATCTGCTCCAATATGGCATTTCAAGGAAGCAGGAGGGGAGATGTGTCCAGATGTTTCTGTGCCATTACTGAGGCAACATTTTGCCATTCGCACTGGTACAGCTTCTGGAGGAACAAAGACTTTCCTCCATCTATCATAACTGCCTGGAGGTTCTCCTGACCTTTTTTTCCCCCTCCCATTTTTCCAGGTGATTAAATTGTGCAGTCAGAAAGCATGACTATAACGCCAAGAAGCCAGCAATTTTAACACCACAAAAGGATAATTCCGTAATACTTCAGGCTTTATTATTTTCAGCACGGACTGACCCTCAGCCGGGGATGACAGAGCGCCAACAGCTCCCAGCACAATGACTGACAGAACTGGGACATGGCAAATTGCACTTTCGAAGCCTGCAGCAGAACAAGAGCTAGGGGATAGGCTTTGCATTAAAAGCAGTCATGTACTATATTCTTACAACAAGGGACAAAGCAGAACAGCCCACGACTACTTCCCTTCTAAACCCTTTCATTTGAAGCATTTTCCACCCTCCTCTCATTGTTCTCCTTTGCCAGTCTGTAACAGACAGTTGTCAGCACTACTAGTGTAACGTAACTTACATTGTTACACTAAATTAGTACAAATCTGTAGTGTAAAGAGATTTTGCTACCTGTGAATCTCACATTAATTGAAAGAACAGCTTAAGGTATGACATCTGTTGATGGGTATAGGTGAGTAAAAAGACTGCTTTTCCTCCCCTCAACTCAATGCTGCAGTTGAGTCTCACTGTTCTTGCACTGGATGTCTCTATGCTGTATCTGTAAAGAATAAGGCACAATTGAGGCACCCAAGTATACAAGATTTTGCCTCCTCCTCCTCCCAAATCTTTGCTCACATCTCCACTGACTGGTAGTTTGTAGCATTCCCAGCCTGGATGTGCCTGGTGCTGCCCAAGCTTGAGCAACTGGGACTCCACAGGTAAGACCCTGAACAGGAAAGAACCTAGAGATAGCCAGAAGTAAACATAGAATTTCAGTAAATTTAGGTTGTCACATGGGGTTTCCACCTGGGCAGAGAGGAACCTGGGTTTCATTTCTCAGCTTCAGGATATTTTTGTATTTTTGCCAGCTACTACTTAGCTTTAAAAAATAGACTAAAAAAAAATAGTTGCTCCTGTTCCCACTGGTACCAGGAACTTTGTGCTCTCTGCTGCAGTGTGGCTTCCCCAGGCAACATTCTCCCTGTGGCTTATCCCATGGTCTGAGGCACAGAGTCCTCTCCTGGGAAGGGAACTTGAACCCATCCAGAGCAGGAACTGAAGGGAGCCCAACATCTCTCATTTTCCAGGACTTACAGTGAGCAACTGCTATTACAAAGACAGGTAGGCTTATACATCCTCCTTACAAAGTCCAAGACAAGCTCCCGCTTTCTGCAGCCTTTCTGTTGAAGTGAACAGGAAATTTCCTCCTCTAGTCTTGAGTGAGCCCCTCAAGAAAGGGGTGAAATACTTGACATTTCCTATTGCCTCTCAGCTTCCACCAGGCACTGCAGATGTGACAGCAAGAATTGGAATAGAGGGCTGGGATCTTCACTCCAGGAAATGAGGATTTGATAACCCAAACTCTCTTCTTCTGTCATACTCTAGTGTACTTGAGTGCTGGAGGCATGATTAAATGCTGAGTTGTTGAATCCTGGTGACTCAGTATGTGTACTGTAAAATAAGTTTCCTGTTCCCGTGCCCCATTAAAAAAAAAACCAGTATTCATTTCAGCTCATGCTGACAGCTGACACTGTAAGTAATATTAAACTAATGTTTTTATTTTCAGAGTGTGCTTTGAACAGAATAGCCTTACTTTAAGAATTATTTTAACAGTTCATTTCCTAAGAATAACTAAATCACTCTTTCCAAACATTACATCCCCACACAAGCTGAGTCACAGCATGAAGCTGCAGTGAAGCCATGGCATGGCCACAGGGAATTCAACGCAAAAGTAATAATCTCAATTTACAGAGAGACCACCTTCAGTGGAAAAAAAACCCACCAAAATCTACACAATAAAAATAGGAAAGAACATTTGTAGGATTATCCAACAATCAGCCTAAAAGCACAGGCAGCCCGGAGAAAGGATATTAATGTCTTTAATTATTTTAACAGCTATAGAAAATTCTATAGCAGGGATAGGATTTTATATTTCATTACATAGAGTGATTTAAAGTATCTAAAGGTAATTACAAAACTTCTATTGGGTTTTGCTTACAGTGTGGTCAAAAGAGACTATGATTTAACCGAGACTAGAATTTCAGACATGCTTTTACATGTTTTGAGTGTTGCTCCCTGCAGATCCGTCCTGTATAGACCAGGTTATTTACAGATTAAGAGCCTGGAAATAAGAGAGGTTACCACAGGAAATATGTTCCAAAACCTGGGATTAATTTTGTAACTTTTGCTAAGAGAATTAGTAACACGCAGCACAATTAGTCCAAGATCTATGGATCTGCTTGTAATTACTACTTTCTACTACAACAACTTTCAGTCTACTACCATATGGGTTTCCATTGAACCACGACAATGGAAATGTCACTCTGGCTCAATACTGTTAAATACCATTTTCAGAACAGAAAACACGAGCTTTGAAGTGACCAACGAAATAGAGCAATTACGTAGTTCAATATTTAATCTGTGCAGTTTGAGAGAATTGTTACAAGTTCCTTTAAACACCACAAAATGTTAAGTACTGTAAGATGTAAGTTAATTTAAAACTGCTTTGCCATAATTATCTTATGCAGTTGACAAAGTTTTGATATAATCAGTGATATAGAGGTCCCAAAGTAAAAAATAAAATAGTCACTTTAAAATATAAGTTACACACTGTAAGAATCCTAGTATATCCATAATTGTATATCACTAAAGCACAAGCTGATGAAATTCTTTCAAACATTTCTTGCCTCTCCTTTCCTTCCCAAAGCTAAGCCTCTGTTAGCTGTGCCTGCACTAACAGAGCTGGGAGACTGAGTGGAGGTGAAGCAATTGAGATTGGAGTGTCAATAAAGGCACCAGATGCCACTGATGACTCTTCCACACTTCAGTTCTCAGGAACCACAGCAAAACCAGGAACTTTTCCAAATCCAAGGTTTCCTAGTAAGGACAGATTTGAACAGACGCACCAACTTCTCTAAGTGACAAAAATAAAATGCTGATAGATTCTATGGTCAAATAAGGCTGTAAGATAATTGCATAGTGTTAATGTTAAGCTATTTTGTTCTAGCTATACAGTCCTTTGGACAGATCGCATTCAAGTGTTCATTTAGCCTAGCACAGTTCTCACTTAATCCACACAGTAAGTTCCTTTCTGACAACTGTTTTAACGCAGTGTTAACGACGGCCCCTAATTTAAGCTTCTGCCCCTCCATTTCAAAAAATATTTTAAAATATCATTGAAAGACAGCACATGGATAACAGCTCACTGCAAAGACTTCCACTGAGAAGAAAACAAGAAGCTAAAAAAACCAACCCAACAACTCCCTACACCCATACATATAGACAGGATACAAAGACACGACAAATAAAGGTTTGTAATAGATTTTACTTGTAGAAAAGCAACACTCTAGCATAATTTCACAATAAAAAGGTAAGATCTGTTTGGTGTTATACAGACATGGTGTATCAACTCTGAGTGCAACAGGTAAAGCATACTGCAATACTCAGTATGAAAGGTACGAGACACACTGTTGTATTTAGCCAATTACTCCTCATGTCTCTTTGTGGATACTTTCTTAATTACAGGTCCTCTGTCCCATCATTCTACTCCCCTTCATATAAAACAATGAAAAATAAAAAAGTCTTGATATAGAAAATTGTTACATCTTCTTGCTTCTGCATTGACGCAACTTCATTATCAGGCTTCCTTATCCAGATATTAAACTGTAAAATCAACAGTTACTTATCGTGGGGCTTTTCCACCATCTTCAGTGCTAATCTTCCAACCATTAGCAAACTGTATATGGGGAAAAACACAGAATTAAACAACAATAAGAATAATTTGTCAATTCATTTTCAAATATTTCCCATGTAACTGGTGTACAGAAACAAAAGTTACACAAAATATGACTCACTCCATCTCAGTTTAATTAAGCAAGTAAGAAATCACACATTGGAGGTTAAAAAAAAAAGAAGTATATTGTGTTGTACCTGACACCAGCAATGAGCCCTGCAGGCATGAATTTTCCAGAGTTGTAAAATCTTGTTCCCATGACAGCAGTCAGTGTTCCAGATGTAACTTAAATGAGAGATTAGAGAGTCCACTCAGCAGAGATTCATGCGTGTGAGAGAGATGCTACAATTCAAAACTAACAGAACACAGAAAAGCAGTAGTAAAAAGATGAAGTAAAACATGAAACAAGGTTATTTCATATGATGGACTAAAAGAGTCAATAAATGGTGTAAGCTTTGGAATGCCTCAGTATGTGAGTACTAAACATTCTATATCAAGTTCTAGCAGACAGCACACTCCATATGCTTCTGCGTAGACTGTCCTCAAATTTCTTTGTCAAAATGTTCTTTTTTGCAGACTGGAAATAAGCTATGCTACACAGCTCTGGAATTCACTCCTTCCCTGTGCACCTAAACCTGTGCACATAACCCCCCACTTTTCTTTATGAGAGAGCATTTTCCCATCTAACTTGTAGTAACGTTCTGAGAACTAACGAATTTGTGTTTGGAAAAGACTTTGAAAGGGAAGTGTGCTGTTTGAGTGTGCATTACCGATCCATTTCAGCCCTGCACCACATTCACTAAGATCACAGAGTTAAATCTATCCACCCCAACCACTTGACAGAGAGGAGCCAGGTAGTTTCACTGAGCCAGTAAAACAGAAAGGGGAATCCCTGGAACACTGTATCTCAAAGAAAGATGGAATACCAAGAAAACTACACAGAAAACTTACCAATGAAATCCTTAGCCTTAGCATGCATCTGCTACCCAGCAGTAACAGCTACATGTTAACTTGTTCCAACCACTCATATTTTCTACCATTGCTTCTACGTGATAGCTAGTCCAACAGGACCCAGCTCATCTTTAACCCTAGCCATGGCAGCCCTCCTCCCTTTCACCACCTTAAATATTGTCCTTGACATCTAATAGTCTCATAGAGGTAGACACGTAAAAGACCGGGACCACAGTCTAACACACAGTATTCAAATACCTCAAGCTCTCATCAGTAGACAGTCTTCAAAATACACACACCTCACTAAATGTAATTTTGTCTAAGACAGCAGAACACACCTTCTCCAAAAACTTTAAAGCATGAAAAGGAGGAGGAAAAGACCCCATATGCAACTGAATTATAGAAATGTACATGTCTCTTGCATTCGGGAAAATACTTTGTCTCAGTCCTGTTAAGCTTTCTGTATATGCAGTTGATTTCAGTTATTTACAGTTGACCACGCACAGCTTTGACCTCTCCAGTAGATATGAAAGTGCACTGCACCATAGAAAATGCTGAAGTGGAGAGAAACACTGGGCCTTCTCCTTTCACTTCTGCCTTTCACGTGTCTAAGAGCTAGACGCTATGTCACTGCTTCAGTGAACAAATGCTACAGTCAGTGGCAGCTCTTTAAGCACTGACTAAGCAGTGACTCTCCACAGTTAGCTTCTCAAAGTAAGGGAGAAGGGAAGCTCCAGTTCTGAGAAGAAGGAAGAAGATACTGTCTTACTGAAGCTTCTTTCTCTGTTAAATCTCCTCAGGCGGGCAAAACCTCTGTAATTCCACATATTTGCCATATATAAAAATAAGCCAATCACAATCTCTGCCATCTTCAGCGATAATAAAATAACCTGCTAGCAGTATGGGCAGCCTGCAGGGGAATCACTCTTCCTGAAATGCTCCAGCTTCCTGTAGGATGCTGAAAGTACAATCCAGCCAAACAGAGAACACACAGGTCAGGCATCAATTTACTAGCAGTTCCCTTGCACCGTGATCCTTCAAACAAGACAGCTGCATAGTGGCAGCCACCAATTCAGCTGAGCCTGGGGTTTGAAATGCAGCTAGTGCTAGAGAACCGTCATGCACTGATGTCTTCTACAGATCAAGAGAGGAGGAGATACTTCCAACAGATACAGGCCAAAGGACTACACAAAATAGACGCTTGCAAGTATTTGAGATAGGGCAGCCTAAAAAATGTCAGGCATCAGCTGAGTTGCAGGAATTATCTACATATATTTTCTCAGCCCGCTTCAACTGCAGGGTACGCTAATTTAGTAGTGAACAAGAAAAGTTCAAGTCGTGTTATTTTGCAACTGGCACGAGCTTTAGGCACGCACAGGTCAAAGCGATAGGTGATAATCATCCTAACTTAATCACAACCCCGAGCTCTGAATGGCAGAAAGACAAAAATTGCATTTTGGAGATTCACAGCATGCTACTTATAAGTTTTTATGCACAAAATACTTATTTGATTTTTTTTTGCTGAGGGATGTAAATTAATTGTTTGTTTGTTTTTAAACCACGTAAGTTTCACTTTATCTTAGCACACATCTTCCTTCACAACCCATAGTTTTTTTGATGCTCAGAAGACAAACTCTAACAAATAATAGGTATTTTCCTCTCCTGTTGTAGGAGAGAAAGAAAAATATAAGTTTGAACTACTACCCAGAAGCACTTCATACTTCTTCCAAAAGGGATGCAAGAATGTAGTGAGAAATCATCAAAACAAGCAGTCTTTAATATGTATTCTCAATGAATTATTTTAAAAAATAATGAAATAATGCTAAAAAAAAAAAAATCACATTCCAGGGACAACACTGGAGTTTGCCCACTAACAGAGATTATCACTTAAACACAAATTTTAAGACTGGATTAAAAATAGATTTAACACCATCAATTTAACTCTTCTGCAAAGACTTTCACGTACTCATTTTAAGTATCCAGGGTTTTTTTGGTAAATATAATCCCTTCTAATTAAAATTGTAAATTACTTACTCAGGGAAATCCAAACATTATTTGGATTCTGCGAGAGCTGATAGGCGCCCAGACCAGCCAAACTCCCAAAGAAAAGCCCAGCAGCTAGCGATGGGACACTACCTGAATAAGTGAAAAATAACATATTTATTAGAAGTTCGTAAATGAACTTGTTCATTAGCTTATCTGTTTTGTAAAACACCAACAATAACAAAAAAATATGGGCATTCATTGTTATAAAGCAGATTAGAGAGGTTTTTTTTTAAAGTATTAAGACCACGCCGATCTGAACCAAGGGATGTGTTTAAATACTCTTGCACAAGGTATGAATAGCATTAGTATCTAATGCTTCAACTCAAAGCCATGAACATGTTTATGATGGAAAGAATAATGAGAAAAAAAAACAAAGAAATGGTGTTTTCTTTGTACAAACCAAAGCACATGGTTTCAACACAGTAATTCCAGAATTTCTTGAGAGGCATTAAAGGGATTAAATAGTAAAGGTTTAAGATTAGAATGAAAAAGGACACATGAACTGAACTGGCCAGGAGGGCATTTAGACAAATAAGAAGTTGCCAAAGAAGAGAGAGGTGTCAAATAAGAGACATCATATCTCTTAAGTACACCTGAGATCTGATCCAAAGGTGACTGCAGACTTTGGACGAAGGTTCTCTGGACTTGCCTAGATGTTGGATCAAGTCTTCAGTATAAATTATAATCCTGAGCTACCAGAAGATAAAGGATACCACATCCAAATTGGTGATTTATAGATGACATCAAGTAATGAAATGGCATGACCACTGGTGAATGAACTCAGTAAGGCTAATGGAGAATTCAGGACTTAATGCTACTGAGGGTGGTTCTTCATATATTCCATTTTTTTAGGTCACCTTTAAAAGGACTCGAGATTGCAAAGCTAAACTGATAAAGATCTCCTCTCAATATTACAGAAGTATAGCATATCGCTACCAGAAAGTAATCAGCATTCTGTCATCAGTAAGGCAGCTCTGACATTACTTCAGATGTTGCTTTTGTTATAAAAAGTAAGAGTTAAAGATGATAGAAAGCACCAGATATTCTTGTACGTGTGCAAGCAAAATTTACACACTTTAGTAAGTGGCTGCTCTGGACAGAATATAGTTTAGCAACCAACATGTGGTAGCTAGAATTCTTTGCACAAGCCTAGGAGCCAAGAAATGGCCGTCATGTCCTCGAATTTTACCTCAAGGCATTTTTTAAGCAGCTGTGGCACATGCACTTACTAGGACAACTACAACACCTCTGGCTCAGGAGGTTCCCGAGTCTCAGAACACTGGGACCCAAAGAGCTTACTAAAGAAAGAGAGAATATAAATAAATAAATCAATTACTTTTTGCTTGCCCTGTTTCCATATTCTTCCAAAGGCTGACCACTGTGTGGGTAAATAGACATGGTTATAAAAGAACAGATGACTACCTTAGCTTTATGGATGAGAGTTCCATTTTCTTTTGGTTTCTCCAAGTTATTAGTAGGGATATGATAACTTGTTGGGTTTTTTAATTTCCCTAAAGTCACCATACAAGTTCCTTTTCCCTCTTCAAAAATCCTCTGACCTGGATTCTCTTGCTTCAGCATGACCACGTCTTCCCATATGGGAATGGAATATAAGAAATACACCTACCATTTATTTCATAATGGCTGCAGAGAAATATGGATGCAATTAATTACTAAAGTTCTCATTATTGTCCCTCCTGTCCTAAACTCCACTCACACCCCAAAGGATAAAGAAAGCCAGTAGAAAGCAGATAGGAACAGGCATTAGCACCTATGTAGTTAAACACACTTTTCATATCACAAGCACTAAGACAGCTTGGGGGTTTTCAAAGCTGAAAGAGACAACATTGCATGATGAATCCACATTTCTGTCGGGAGGAGGGCAAACTCAGAAAAATGAAAGCAGTAGGTCAGAGGGTAAGCTTGTGATGCAGAGCCCAGAAAAGGAACAAGTTTAAGGACTGATCTGCATTATTCAGCTCGACCTGGAGAAAGGATCCTTCTGAAAACCCTCTGCAGCTCGCGGTATGCTGTCACCATCAAACATTAAAATGAAAATAAATCTCTAAGGAAAAAAACAACAAGGTGACTTGTGTTATTTGAAGATAGAGAACACTTAAAATAGTAGGGGAAAGGCCTTGTGAAGCAAACTTACATCAGTTCACCTAAAGAACACAATGCAGAGGCAGGACACCAGCATCCATCAGAAAGCAGATCGGGGGCTTATCAACCCAAAGCACCAGCTCAACCCAAAAAGCACCACACCTCAACAGCAGCAAGTTATCAGCGCATGGCACAGAGTGATAAACTTTACATCTGCATGAATTTCGAGATAGGAGGCTTTCGCCAAAAGCCGCCCAGCTCACACAAAGTTATTGGGGGGGGAAAAGGGAATGGGGGGAAGTGAAGGATACACAAGCATCCTCCCGCACCGTACCTGCTTTTGCATAGCCTATGATCCCTCCCGATGCCACCAGGGCGGCGTAGCCAAAGCCCAGCCAGTCCACGGCCATGCTGAAAACTGAAAGAGAAATCGGGGTGAGCGTCCGTACCTCTTTAATTTTTTAGGGAAAAAGAATAACAGCATTTTGCCGGGGGGATGGGGAGGAGGAAGGGGCGGGCGGAGGCTCTTCCACAAGCAAGGCTCGCCTAAACCCTAAGGCCACTCCAAGGGCTGAAAACCCATCTGTTGGGGCTGCAGCCCTGGGGGAAATCGGGCCGGAGCTGGGGGTCAGCCCCGCCGGGGAGGGTACCCGGGCGGCACTCACCTGCGCGGCGGCCCCGCTCCGCAACAGCCCGGGGCGGAGCAGGCTGCGGAAGGGGAGGTGAGGGAACAACGGCCCGCCCAAAACTTCCCTTTTCCGGCTGGTCTGAGGGAAGAGAAAAAAAAACAAAAAACATAAACCTAAGGGAAAAAAAACAACCAACCAACAACCCCAAAACCTCCAAAAGGCGGGGCAGAGTGCGTTGGTGCCTTCCCACCGGCACCGGAGGGGGGTACCGGGGGTGCCCGAGCAAGCCCGGTTGCCGGCAAACGGGGGGAGACTTCGGTGCCGGGTTTTGGGGGCTTATGCAGCTCCCTCATAACTGCCTTCGTGTGCACCCAATCCGTCCTCGTCCTGCAGGGACAGAAGCGGGGGGATGCGGTACACCCCAGGATTTGGGGTTGGGTTGCGGTGTTGCATGAGCTGCAGCTCTGGGCAGCCGACAGACTGCTTCTACCTTTGATGGGTAATTTCAGTGTAGCCCTTTTATGGAAGGTGCAGAGGATTTCTGTAATCTTCACATGACAACCACAGCTTTCTTCACTTGAATGGCACTGCATGATTTGTTCCAGTTGGCTAAGCACTTACCTCCCGTGGACATTTAACCATATAGAAACAAAAAGCACTCCTCCAGCCAGGTCCCTGAGCCCAAGGGCTTCAGCATCAATCCGTAACAGAAGGCACAAAACGTGGGAGGCCTGTGATTTCTGCAAAATGCAGCTTTCTCTAGCTGTATTTTGAATTTTCCCATCTTTATGAATTAGCCTAACAGTCAGAAAGTGGAGAGCAGTTTAATTCCCTTGTTGGCCTAAGTGGTTTAAATATAGATCTCCTATCTCCCACAACACAGACCTAAGGATGGGGTTCCCTGTTCTGTTGAAGCTGTGTAACAGGTATGAAGTTCAAGTCTCACCAGGCTCTGCTTTGTAATCCAGCACTGGGGTTCCCCAAGAAGGCAAGGACTACAAGTAGAAGTCCACAGCTGCTGGAGCTGCTGAACTCACCTGGTGCCCAGCTAAGATGCTGCTCTCTAGGCTGGCGTTTCTTGCAGCCATGGGTCCCTCTACTCTACAGGTTTCATGCACAGTCACCCTTTCTGAGACAGGAAGAGCTTTCTCACTGCTGACATCTCCTCTCTCTCTGCATTGCTCTATCATTCTAAGCTGCTCCCTGAAAACTAGAATGAAAAATGTTCTGAAAAAGATGCGCACAAGAAAACAACAAAAAACATTTTCCACGTGCTAGTAGCTGAGCATTTACTCATGGTATAGAAAATGCGAGCTCATGAGAGCTTGCTTCTTTAATTGCGATGTCCTTGGCCATGAGCTCGTGTATTTAAAAATTGAAACAGTAAAAACTGTCATGGTAGTGGCAGCCATTTTGTCAAGGACATAAGATAAGCACTATAAAACAGACATAATACTTTACAAGTGAAAACACTTTACAGAATTCTCTTATTTAAGCTTCTACTTTGCAAGTCCTATACTTGCCACAGAAGCAATTTATCAATAAAAAATCTGATTTTGAACCTTTCCTGCCACATCTACAAACTATTTGAAATCCTGTACTATTTGCCTGTGTTTGTGTACATACACATTCAGGTTATTATTAAAGTTAAAAGCTGCACAAATTCAAACTAAAGTACAATTGAAATCCCTTTAACGTCAAATTAAACTCAGCTCATATAAATCAACTATATATTCAACTAAATCAACTATATTCAGAGAAGGAGTTGTGATCATTCATCTAAATAAGGGACACAGTTACAGGAAATAAATACAGACACCCACCTCCAAAAGAATATGCCAGTGCTACATGAATGATCTCATAACAGCAACTGATGATGGTCACTTTGTTTTGGTGTCAGAACATCCACAGAGATGATCAGGAGTTATATGCTATTTTACATCCCAAAGACAGCCTGCATTCCTGTCTCCAGATTTGGCTTAATCTTTTTTTCTGATTTTCTCTACCCTTCTCTTGCTACATAAGGAGGAACAAATGATTACTAAAGTGAATCAGAATGAAGCATAATCCAATTACTCTTTGAAAACAGAAGGAATAATGACTACTCCAGTAGTGCAGAAAACAACATTAAAATGCCTTACTTTAAAAGCAATAAAGAGAACATGTAGTACAGCTATTTGACCTTGTTCTCTCCAGCTCAACTTTGTTTTCCCCACTGTATATTTGCAATAAGACTTACGATAAAAATCCTTTTCCCACTGACTGAGAAGGTCAAGAATTCACTTTCTGTTTAAGTGCAAAACAGATGGGTGACATTTTATCAGCATGACAAACATTTCCAATGTTAGATTTTTTTTAACAATACAGCTCAGATCAAGAACTTGAAAAAATACTATGGGAAGAGGAAAGAGAAGGTAAAACCTTATTGATATGAACTCTTCCACCTAAAAATATCTACAATATTCTGAACAAAGGTTATATTCTGTTCTTTTCCTGTAGATTTCAATCTTAAAGCAAATGCTTTAAAAAAAATTAAATGCATGAAGTATGGACAGGGTAAAAAACCCAAACATTTGCTTATACACACTATGTATAACTCCATGTCAAGAACTAGAAGGTATGATTTTCTGTGAATGTATAAATGGAACGTGATCATCATATTTTAAGTAATTTTAACATGTTCCTTCTTACAGTAGGAAAAGTAATGCATGAAAAAGGTAGATCATGTTTTGAGTCAAATTAACAGTAACTTTTCCAACACTAAAATGAGAAAGTATATGTATTTTTAATATGCATTTAAGTGAGACAATAATGTAACTGAGACAGCAACTATTTTAATAATTTTATCTAGCTTTTTCAGAGCTAGTTAAAAAGTGTATGCTATTGTTAATAGAAAAATATAAACATTGCATATTATGAATTTATTTTTGCCTCATTCGCTTCAGAAAACTTGCCATCTCTTTTGCTACTTCCCAGAACAATCAGTTTATTAGAGTAAAAACATTCATTACTTTTAAGCAACAGGTTAGTTCCGAGGTATATGTCCTGTCAGAGGTTTACATCCTTGTAAAAAACTACAGCAAAACCAGTATTTACTTTTTATTCAGAAGAGAAAATAGCTGCCTTTATGCTGATCTATTCCGTTTCTTTTTCTTCTTTTGCAGTGGAGCTTCCAATTTTTTCTTCTCTGGAGTAATTTTTCTCTTTCTTTTTGCCGTTTTATCACTTTTATCAGTCCAACAAACTTTCTTTTTCCTGAGTACTGACGATATTTCATCTTCATTTGCTAAAAAAAAAGAAGAAATTATTCACCCTGATATTTATGGCCAGTCTTTGCAGTCTAAAATGGCACAGAGACTTACTTGTATCTCATATTAAAAAAGGGGTTACAAATGATTTTTTTATTTACAGTGGAATGTGCTATTTATGCTAGTTTTGTCTGTGATACAAAAATATTAAAAGATCAAATATGTATATAGATTACGATGCAGGAAAAAAACAGAAAAAAAAATTGAGCCAGATTAAGTTTGCCCAGCTGCATTGGCCTCATATCTAATCTTGTTTGTAGGAAAACAGGACATGCAGTTCTATCAAACTGTTTATTCTTTTCTATCGGTCTCAAAAGCTTTGCAGTGTCTTCCTCATTATGTTATTCCAGTAGAGAGAAACAAAACTCTCATGTAATAGAAGAGAGGCTTATGTCCTCCAACATAATATCTCGAGGTTGAACTTTTCAGATCGGTAAGGATATCTGTATCACTTTCCAGTGTCATATCCCAAATTCTTCAAGATACCCAAAACTTTTTCCAGTCCATATAGTAAAAACCTCTCACTTAGTATATTCCGTTTCACAGTCACATCAACAACCAATAATACACACAGTTCTATTACCTTGAGATGATGTTGCAGCTTTCTCAGAATTTTCTTTCATTTCTGAAGCTTGGTCAAGCCATACTGCAAGACATGTCAGCCTAGCTTTGGTACTGACTTCACACAGTAAAGATGGCTCATCTTTAATCTGAATATAGAAAAAGAATAATTAAACATTATTTTATTTCTGTTTAAATTCAGTGAAGTATCTTAAGTGAGAAAGTATCTTACTGCCCGCCTTCCACTTCATTTCTGGTGCCCAACAATATTTAGAAGTAGAGGCTGCATACAGGTTAATGGTGACATTGTTACAGTACTAATACTATTCCTCAGTGGTGGTTTTACAAAAAATCTCCCAATGGCTTTTAGAATATACCTTGATAATCAGGATCAGTGGGTTTCAGGCACATGGGGCTAAGTCTAACATGAGGAGAAACTAGATGAATCATAGACTCATAAAAAAAAATGCTTTCAGAAGTTTCTCCAGAGTAATAGGTATATTTTTGGTATAGCTAAAATAATTTAAGTTATTGGATCAGATTCCTTTTCACAAAGACAAGGCTGCTGATTAAAAGTAATGTCTTCACGGTGTGTTTCAAATTGCTGAACTGCAATTTTATCACTCGGCTCTGGGAATACTTGAACTTACAGATATTAGAGTGCCCTGGTTTCAGCTGGGATAGAGTTAATTTTCTTTCTAGTGGTTTCTGTGTTTCAAATTTGATATGGAAGGAATGTCAATAATGCATATTAAGTTGTTGCTAGGTGATGTTTATACTACTCAAGGACTTTTCCAGCTTCCTATAGAAGCTGAGTAGGAGCCCAGACAGAACAACGGAATGGCCAATGGAATATTCTGTACCATAGACATCACACTCAATATATAAATGGGGGTTGGCTGGGGTGGGGGTGAGAATCCGCAATCACTGCTCGGGATGGGCTGGGCAACCAGTTCACTGGGTGGAGAGAGTGACTTGTGTTGTATTATTTTATCTTGTATATTCTTTTACTGTTATTATTATTGTTGTTGTTGCTGTTATTTTCCCTTTTCTGTTATCGTTCTATTAAACCATCTTTATCTCAACCCAGGAGATTTTTTTCCTTTCCTTTTCCCTCTTCTCCCTGCCCTTCTGGGAGGGGGAAGAGGGAGAAATGCAGGAGTGGCTGTGTGGTCGTAGCTGCCCACTGGGGTTAAACCACAACACGGGATAAAGTGTCCCAAACACACGTGCAGCATACCAGCAGCAACCCATCAGAAACTACCTCACAGTGCTGGACACAGCAGCCTATACAGTTATACAAAGTTTTACAAAATTTTGCCTGCACAGGAAGAAAATCACACACTTGGTCAAAATAAAGACAATGTTACAGAGAAAGCTAAAGAGTTCCCTGATCACTTTGTCAATTATGTACAAGAGGAACAGAAATTTGAGATGAATGGAAAAGAGGGATTTTCACTACTGTACTTAGAAGTATAAAAATAATCAGTGGGGGTGAAATTAAAAATGGGCAAATTCAGATGAGATACATAAAGTGCATAAATGTTTAGAGCTATTTATTTGAACTACTCAAGATACTTCCAGTGGAATATATTAGATCCTTTATTACTAGGCATTAAATTAAAAAAAATCTAAATATGGTTTTAAAAGACAGATACCAGAGCAAACAATAAACATGGGAAACTTTAAAGGTAAGACACGATTCCTTGTTGAACCGTGCTACTCAGAACTGTTTGAAAATACAAGCAATAAAAGTACCCAGTACATTGTGTTTGAATTTTTCAAAAGGCCTACCTGAACAACCACCCCACTCCCAGAACACAGAGTTTGTGTTTTTAAAAGAGTAGCAAGTCAAGAACATTATAAAAATTCACAGCAGTCCTTAGAACATATATAATTGATTAAATAGTCAAAAATCTGGCCCTTTAGGGCCAGAAGGGAAAATGAAGGGTTTGCTGAAGGGAAACATGACTTTATGTAAAGAGGGGATGCAATCTCCATAATATCATCAGCTTTTATAGTTTGTTTTTAAAAAACATTACAAACATAGCAAAATATTTCATTTGAGACATTTCATTACATAGAAAAATATACAAGTGCATAAAAATATGTGCATAGACATAGACATCTCTACTGAACACAACACGGAGGAAGACCAAGACATCCAGATTTCAAGTAAAATTTCCTCAGTGATTTAAAATTAATCTTTGCAATAGAACTGTCTGTAATTTTGGTTGTCTGATATTTTTCCATAAATGTAACAAGCAGCTTAATAGACCAACCTTATTAAGATCCAGATTCCACATTTTAATGAAACCATCACTGGATGCAGTAACAATAACATGTTGTCCGTCTCTTTCAAAACTATAGATATCTTTTATTCTGTGAAAAAAATGTAATATTTTGTTACTTTATAGCATGGTAATTCATTCAGAACAGTAAACTGACAGAAATTAAAGATGAATAGGCAACAGCCTAAAAATCAGTTTGAACAGAAAACCCACAAATGACAGGCAGGAACTTGGAACAGTAATCTATTTTGAGTGCTGTCATTTACAGTAAGAACACTTGCTTTTGCTAGGCTTGTTAGGAGTCAATTCAGAATACTGTAATACTTTTAAGCATACACTATTAACCACATCAAGACATTTTAGCTAATACTTTTGTGTTTGGATGAATTACAAGCAGCATTTGGACAAATATTTGGTATTCCACAACAACAGAGAATATGTGATTACTCTCCTATTGTCTGAACTGAGTACAACTGGTTTGTTTTATTTAAGCATTCTAAAAAGTCAGAATCTGGAAAGGCTTGTTAAACATTCTTTAGGTGGTCTTGCAGGAAAATACTGGTACCCAATTTCATAAATGCACAGACCACACACAGAAGTGTGTACCACCGTGTACACATGTACACACACACACACTCTCTCACTCTCTCTCTCATAAATTCAGAACTGTAATATTTCCATACCCTGTTGTTTTTGTTTAATGTGCATGGACAGCACATACTTGTGCTCATACTAAAAGCAAACAAGTCTGTCCCAAATTTCTAATTTAGCACATAAATAAACTCACTTTCACAGTAACTTTCACTTCTTCACAAACCAAAACCAATAGCAAAATACACTAAGCATCACAAGTCATTGAACTTTACTGAGTACTCAGCATTGCCATAAATATTTAAACAGTAAACAAATACAGAATACCTGTTTTCATGAGCTTTAAATTCACACAGGCATTTTTGAGAGACACAGCTGTAGAGCCTTATAATTTCATCATCTCCAGCTATGGCAAGGATAGAATTCTTAGAATGGGAAAAAAGAAATGCAAGTGTGATTAATTTCATGTATTTCAAACCAGTTAATTTCCCAGCACCTTTCTTTTTTTGTACTTACTGTAATAAATCTAAGTGAAGAAATCCTCTTCTCTGTTGTGATAGTGCCGATGATTGAAGCTGTGTCAAGTTTGTAGATATCCACTTTATTTGTTATCACGGTCACGTACCTCTCTCCATCAGGGGACCATTTAATTATGTGGGCATCTGTACACATTGATACATTTATATACACATGTACACAGGTTTTTTGCACTCTACATTGCATGAGTATCTAAAAGTAAGAATCTTTAGAAGCTGCTAGACACTGAGAAGCTGCTAGACACTGCTAGAACCTGAGAAAAAATCAGGAAAAAATCAAATAACCTAGAATAAGCAAGTAAAACTATGCATCTTAAATGTTTAGAAGTGTATAAAGAAAAACAAAACAAAATAAAAATTATTTAAATGTCTTGACACCAAATTTAAAGAAAAAAATTACTTTAGTGTCATTATGTTTTCCTTTTGGTAAATGATTATTATTAGGGACATAAGCTTACATATGCTTGCCTATATGTGTAAAAAAGACATTGTGAAATTTGCTTGCAATTAACTGACTTGTTGATTAATTCAGTCTACTTTTCTTTACACAAAAAATAAAACTATCTAATTCCACTTTTCTAGTGGATTTAGACTGATAAACTCACTTTGCTTCAGGTTTTTGATAAAGGCTGATCGTCCTTCTACAAGATTCCAAGTTCTGAAAGACAACAATAGATAATGTGCATTCTGGTTAAAAACAGCACAGTGAAAACGAAGGCCTACGTGCTGACATGAGGCATCCAAAGGAAGCTTTTAAGCATCTCTATGCATTTTACTGCCTTAATGCAAGAGAAAATGATGACTTCATATTATCGCTTGTTGAACTGGTGATATTTATTTTATAAAGCACTGTTTGCAATGCAGAGCCCAAAAAGAGCCCAATACCAATTTGTGCTGTTATATATTTATGCATTTTATATATTGAAAACAAATATACAGCAACAGTTCCACACTCCAAGTGAAAAATTACTTTTCTCACACTAAACAGAACCTAACAGCTTTCAGAAGTTTGAACAAATTGTGTATCAAAATGCAAATGTATCTATATGCCTACAAGAGACTATAAAGAGTCAGAGCACAACTAGAAGCTAGGAACAGCAAGGACTATTTTTTAAAGACTTTGAAATATTGCTGGTACCTAGAACTTAAAAAGAGAAACTAATGGATCTTTGAACCATTTGATGTCCAAATAGGTTTTATCAGTGTTACATGGTCAACTCCTAACACTGAATTGTTTGTAACAATTTACTAAGAGTTACTGAATTATGATTCTTAGCATTCTTTCATCAGTTTCAACTCACCTCAATGTTTTATCTGTTCCTACTGACAAAGCTAATTTCCCAGAAGGATGAATAGAAAGAGATGTCACGTGCCCCCTGATAAAAACAAAACAATGTATTAGCCACATACATTATTTACAAGGAAAAGAAACATGAAAACCCACGTGAATATGCAGATTTGAGAAACTCACTTATGTGCCTTAATGGATTTCAGGCATTCCCATCTCTTTGTGTTCCAGATACAAATTAATCCATCTTCAGCCCCACTCAGTAGATGTGCAGTACCATAGAACTCCAGACAAGTTATTGTGCCTAGAAATAGAAACTAGAGCTAGTAAGTAACAAAGTTGTACATTCTGAACAGTTATCACACAGAGAATGTTCGAATTAACAGAGAAGCTTCTAGCATCAAAACATGCCAGCTACTATCCTACCCTTGGGAAAATCCAAATTATTTCCCGACTATTTCTTCACAAAACCCTCAAACTTTCTTGCTATATTCAATCACTGATGTGCTCTGTCAGCCCCCCTATAGCCATACATGTCTGAACTCCATCTGGTCTGTTCCCTGAAACGGCAGTACTCAACAACCCACTGTGGCGCAGGTGACACAGAGCTTCTATCAGTGATAAGAAATGTTCCTATGTCAAAGCCCTGCTCTTGACACACAGCTAAATTTACTGGATGCTTCCCACAAACACCAGATTTATCATATGCAAGTTGAACACAGGTACCATGTTCAGGCTAGTTTCAGGTACTTCTTGGTTACCAGGAGAAAAAAGGACAATCGTGATTGAACTACAAATGACCCAAACGTGTTTATTTGGATGTCCACTAACCAACGTATTACACAGCTGTAATTCAGAAGGCACATAAAGTGGGCAATGTACTAAGGTAACTCTTCTGGCAGCAGCCACCTGCTCTCACACACAAACTCTCTCTTTTGTGTGGCTCATGTACGTCTGCTGCAGGACAAAGACACTGGGAAAGATGGTTGCTGGGAGTGGGCACGGTCTACATAAACTGTATGGCAGAACAAAAATGTCTCACGAGACACCTGTGGGCCATAACTCCTTAAATGCTTAAAACTAAAAATAATTGGAAGAACCAACTGTATTTGTGGACTAATACCCCAAATTAATTTTGGGTATTTATGCTCAAAAGCTTATCTTGCTTGCATCATCAGACCATCATGGCTGCAAAACCGTCACTATTAAAGACTTATTAAAAAAAATATTCTATTTTATTCTTCTAGCAAGGGCCAGTTCTTCAGCTGTAAGTTTCTATCATTAATGCTTTTTATGAAGAAAAGCTCCCTTACCATTGTGTTGCAGCAGTGCCCCATGTTCTATCTTCTTTTTCATGTCATAGATTTGGATTGTCTCATCCCTGCTCCCAGTGACCACGTATCTGTTATTCACCGCTACCGCTGACAACGAGGCAGAGTGGGCATGATGTGTAAAATCAGGGACAACCGTCCAGGACTGGAAATGACATACAAAATAAACAGGTCTCTGTGAAGCTTACCGTAGTGAGCTTCAACTTCATCATCCCGTAATTTATTATTTTTTTTATTAAAAAAAAAGCAAAACCTGAAGCAGTAAAGTGTGAAAAATGCAAAGGAATTATACTTAGCTATACGGATAATGGGATCTTATTGAGTTAATGTGCTGTCAGGAGATTAGCCCGAACGATTTAAGTGCGCCAATCGGCTCGGTGAAGCTGTATGTGAGAAAATACCTTCAGAGGGAGAGACCTCATGGACAAGGAAGGCGTATTCTCTCTTTTTCCACCATTGCAGGCTGCAGACACGCCTCCCACCTGGCACCAGCCC